CCCTTTTCCCCCCCCATTTTTCCCCCTCACTTGCCTCACCTGTCTGACCTGTCCCCCCCTGTCCCACCTGTCCCACCTGTCCCCCCCTGTCCCCCCAGACTCGGTGACGTCATCGCTGGGCTCCCTGCAGCTGCGGGAGGGCCCCAATCGCTGCTCGGGGCGGGTGGAGCTGCTGCACGAGCACAGGTGGGGCACGGTCTGCGACGACGGCTGGGACCTGCGGGACGCGCAGGTGATCTGCCGCCAGCTGGGCTGTGGCCACGCCCTGGCCGCGCCCGGCCACGCCAATTTCGGCCGGGGCCACGACGTCATCTGGCTGGACGAGGTGAACTGCACCGGGACGGAGAATTCCATCCTGGAATGTCCCGCCAAGACCTGGGGGGACAACAACTGCTTCCACGGGGAGGACGCCGGCGTCATCTGCTCAGGTGAACTCACCTGGGCACACCTGGGAGACATCTGGGGACACCCGGGGCACACCTGGGAAGACAACTGGGGCACTCCTGGTGATAATTGGGGCACACCTGGGAACATCTGGGACACACCCGGGGATACCTGGGAACACCTGGAGACACACCTGGGGATAGCTGGGGACACCTGGGATGACACCTGGGGCACACCTGAGGTGACACCTGGGACACACCCGAGGATACCTGGGAACACCTGGGGACACACCTGGCAACACCTGGGCACACTTGGGATACACCTAGGGCACACCTGGGGCACACCTGGGTCTCACCTGGCCCAGGTGCGCGACCACAGAACCACATCCCGCTGGAGTCTGGGACTTACCTTCGACCACACCTGCTGCCACCTCCCCCCGCCCCCTGCCCTCCCCCAGCCCCTCCAGGTGAGCTCACCTGTGTCATTGCAGCCTCTGGGATGGCGGTGCCCGCCGAGGTGCGCTTGGCCAACGGCTCCACCCGCTGCCAGGGGCAGGTGCAGGTGTCCTATGGGGGCACCTGGGCGGCCCTGTGCGACCACGGGTGGGGCCTGGCCGAGGCCCAGGTGGTCTGCAGGCAGCTGGGCTGCGGCCACGCCCTCTCCACACCTGGAGGCTCCTGGTTCGGGCAGGAGCAGATGAAGGTGTGGCCGGGGAGCATCACCTGCGTGGGGACAGAGCAGGAGCTCCTGGGCTGCCAGGTGAAGCCCTGGGAGAACCGCACGTGTCACCTGGGCGGGGCGGCGGGCGTGGTCTGCACAGGTGAGCAGCACCCTGGGGACACACACACACACACCTGGAGGGGGCTCAATCTGGGGTTTCCACCTGGTTTTGGGGGCTGGGAGGGGGTCTCAGCGCTCACCTGGCGCACCTGAGGTGGCCACAGGTGGGGCAGGTGGGAAGGGTGGTCCAGGTGTGTTTGAGGTGGTTGGAGGCACCTGCGGCACCTGGTGGAGGTGCAGCACCTGAGGAGGTGCTGGGGACACACCTGGTCAAGGCTCAGCACCTGAGAAGGTGCCAGGGCAGCACCTGGACAGGTACCAGGGTGCTCCAGGTGTGTCTCGACCCTCTACTTCCCCCCACCTGTGCCCCCCTCTGCCCCCCAGGTAACCCCGAGGCCGACCAGGTGCGCCTGGTGAACTCCAGCAGCCGCTGCGCCGGGAGGGTCGAGGTGTTCCACAACGGCAGGTGGGGCACGGTCTGCGACGACACCTGGGACCTGGCGGACGCCCAGGTGAGTCCCAGGGAGGTCAGGTGAGGCTGGAGAGGGGCAGGTGGGGGCTGGGGAGGCTCAGGTGGGTCCTACGGGTGGGTGCTGGGGGTGCTCAGGTGAGTCCGGAGGATGCTCAGGTGGATCATGGGGGGGCTCAGGTGGGTCCTGAGGACACTCAGGTGTGTCCTGGTGGTCTGGGTGGACACTCAGGTGCGACCTGGTGGTCTCTGGGGACACTCAGGTGTGTCCTGGGCCCGCCCAGGTGGTCTGTCGCCAGGTGGGCTGCGGGAAGGCCCTGTCGGCACCTGGGAGGGCCCAATTCGGGCGGGGCACTGGCGTCATCTGGTTGGACGAGACCAACTGCACGGGGGCGGAGCCTCACCTGTCCGCCTGCCCCGCCCGGCCCTGGGGCCGCAATAACTGCTACCATGGCGAGGACGCAGGTGTGGTGTGCTCAGGTGAGCTCCGGGACAGGTGAGGGGGGTGGCAGGAACCCCAGGTCCCCTCTGTGTCCTTCCCACCCCACCTGTGCCAGGTGAGCTCCGGGGACAGGTGAGAGGAGTATCAGGGCCCTCAGGTAACTCTGTGGCCAGGTGGGGTTTGCCTGGGCCTCACCTGTGCCAGGTGGTCCCATCCAAGGGGGGTCTTCCCAGCCCCAGGTGTTGGAAAACGTTCCTACAGGTGATCCCAACGTCCCACCCCACCTGAGTCCTCCAGGTGTTCCTGGAGGTTCTTCCAGGTGTTCCCCAAATCCCACCTCACCTGGACCCTCCAGGTGCTCCAGGCAGGGGGGGTTTTGGGCCTCACCCAGGTGTTCCCCCCACCTTCCCCAGGTAGAAGACGGGGTGAGGACAACCCAGAGCTCACCTGGGGGGGGTTACCTGAGCTCCTTCCTCACCCAGGTGTGTCTTTCCAGACTCCTTGATCCCGGAGCCGCCTCACCTGCGCTTGGTCAACGGCTCCCACCGCTGCGCCGGGCGGGTGGAGCTGCTTCACCTGGACAGGTGGGGCGGGGTCTGTGCCGGGGGCTGGTCCCACGAGGCCGCCCAGGTGGTCTGTCGGTACCTGGGCTGCGGCACCGCCCTGCGAGGGGCGGAGTTCGGCGCACCTGGGCAGGTGTGGCTCGACCAGGTGAGCTGCCAAGGGACGGAGAAGAGCCTCGGGGAGTGTCGGACGAGCCCGTGGGCCCAGCGCACCTGTGAGGGCGGGAGAGCCGCAGGTGTGGTGTGCTCAGGTGAGGCTCGGGGTGCCTGGGCAGGGAGAACAGGTGATTCCCCCCATCAAGGTGCCACCTTCACTTGGGTGCTCAGGTGTGTTTTAGGGCCTCACGTGGTCAGGACAGACCTGTAATGTCCCCCTGCCCACCTGGGAACAAGGGGACACCTTCACTTTGCCTGTACCTGGGCTCAGGTGTGTTTTAGGGTCTCACCTGGGCAGGTGGCACAGGTAACTTGCCCCAGCAAGGTACCGCCTTCCCCTGGGTCCTGCCGTTCTCAGGTGTGGTTTAGGGCGTCACCCGTTTTCACTTCACACCTGTAATCCCCCCCCGCCAGGTACCGCCCCCCCGCAGGTAACCCAGGTGTGCCCTTCCCCCCTCCCCTGCCCGCAGGTTCGGAGCCGCCGGGCGATGCCCAGGTGCGCCTGGCGGGCGGCCCAGGTGAGTGCGCGGGGCGGGTCGAGGTGCTCCACGCCGGCGCCTGGGGGACGGTCTGCGACGACACCTGGGACTTCGCCGCCGCCGCCGTCGTGTGCCGCTCCCTGGGCTGCGGACAGGTGATCTCGGCCCCGCCCCGCGCGCGCTTCGGGGAGGGGCGCGGCCCCATCTGGCTGGACGGGCTCACCTGCCAGGGCCACGAGGGGCACCTGGGCGAGTGTCGCCACAAGAGCTGGGGCATCCACGGCTGCGAGCACAACGAGGACGCCAGCGTGGTGTGCGCAGGTGAGCCGCAGGGGAGGGGCAGGTGGGCTCAGGTGTGCGCAGGTGAGCGACAGGGGAGGGGCAGGTGAGAGGCAGATGCCCCAACCCACCCCTCACCTGACCAGATGTATGTCCCCTCACCTGCAGGTTCTCACCTGGCCGACCTGACCCACCTGCGCTTGGCCGACGGTCCCGACAGGTGCTCGGGGCGGGTGCAGGTGCTCCACGCCGGGCGCTGGGGCGGGGTCTGCGCCCACTCCTGGCACCTGGCGGCCGCCCAGGTGGTCTGCGCCCAGCTGGGCTGCGGGAGGGCGATGGGCGCGGCCCAGGTGAAGCCGGGCGAGGGCGAGCTCACCTGGCTGGAGGCCGTTACCTGCCGGGGGGATGAGGGGGCCCTCCTGGAGTGCCAGGTGAGGGGCTGGGGGGGCCCCCGCACCTGCGGCCTCGGAGGACACGCCCACGTCACCTGTACAGGTGAGTTTGGAGGGGGCCACAAACACCTCCCCCAGAGACCCTCTCTGGGCTCAGGTTACTCCACAAAGACCCCCCAAATCCCCCAGAGACCCCCCAATGTCCCCAAACCCCCCCATTGACTCCCCCAGAGACCCCCCGGCACCCCAAAAACACCCCCCGGCACCCCAAAACCGCCAGGTAACCACAGAGGCAGGTGAACACCTTGGGAGGGGACACCATTGGCCAGGTAACCACACCTGGCCAGGTACCCACACCTGGCCGTGTCTCCTGTTTTCCAGGTGTGACCCAGGGGCGCTCCGGTAAGCCTGGAAGCTCAGGTGAGCCAGGTGAGCCTGGTCACCCAGGTGAGCCAGGTGAGCTCCGCCTGGCTGACGGCCCCCACCACTGCTCGGGGCGCGTCGAGGTTCTCCACAACCACACCTGGGGCACCGTCTGCGGCCGCACCTGGGACCTGGCGGCCGCCCAGGTGGTCTGCCGTCACCTGGGCTGCGGCCACGCCCTCAGCACACCTGGAGCCGCCCGTTTTGGGGCGGGGCCCGGCCCCACCTGGCTGGATGGGCTCAGGTGCGTCGGCAATGAAACCACAATCGCCCAGTGCCCGGGCAGCACCTGGGGGCGGCACACCTGTGACCACCTGGACCACGCCGGGGTCGTGTGCTCAGGTAACCCTCCCAGGTGACCCCCAGGTGACCTCCCAGGTGTCCCCACCTGCGACAGGTGCCCCCACCTGTGGTGGAAGGCAGAACAAGCATCCAGGTGTGTGCAGGTCCCCTCTAACCCCCCTTCCCACCTGTGCAGGTGCCCCCCCGGCAGGTAACTCCAGCTCAGGTGAGGTGAGGTTGGTGGACGGGCCTCACCGGTGCATGGGGCGTGTCGAGGTGTTCCACGACGGCCAATGGGGGACGGTCTGCGACGACAGCTGGGACCTGAAGGAGGCCCAGGTGAGTCTGGGGGGGCTCAGGTGTGTCCTGGGCGTGCCCGGGTGTCCTGGGTGACACTCAGGTGTGCCCAGGTGTCCTGGGTGACACTCAGGTGAGTCCCTGGGCGTTCCCAGGTGGTCTGTCGCCAGGTGGGCTGCGGGGAGGCCCGGGCCGCCCATGGCCATGCCCATTTCGGGCAGGGGGCGGGGCCCATCTGGCTGGATGACATCCTGTGCGCGGGGGACGAGACACACCTGGCGCAGTGCCGCGCCCCGCCCTGGGGGAACAACAACTGCCACCACGGCGAGGACGCAGGTGTGGTGTGCTCAGGTGGGTCCAGGTGGGATCAGGTGTGTTGTGGTGGGCTCAGGTGTGTCCAAGTGGACACAAATAGGCCCGGGTGTGCTCAGGTGAGTCTGGCTGACCTCAGGTGCATGGTGGAGGGCTCAGGTAACCTCCACATCAACCCCACCCTCCCACCCCACCTCATCCCCCCCCAGGTAACCCCCTGCCCACCTCAGCTTTCCGCTCACCTTCCCGTTACCTGCCCAGGTGCCAACGTGACGGAGGAGCAGTTCCAGGTGCGCCTGGTGGGCGGCCCCACCCCCTGCGCGGGGCGGGTGGAGGTGCTGCACCTGCACAGGTGGGGCACGGTCTGCGACGACACCTGGGACCTGCAGGACGCGCGGGTCACCTGCCGCCAGCTGGGCTGCGGGGACGCCGTGGCTGCCCCCGGCCACGCCCACTTCGGGGAAGGGGCGGGGCCTGTCCTGCTGGACCAGGTGGGCTGCACAGGTGAGGAGAACACCTTGGAAGAGTGCGACACGGGCCCCTGGGGGGTCCACAACTGCAACCACCAGGAGGACGCGAGCGTGGTGTGCGCAGGTGAGGGGGCTCAGGTGGGGCTGGGGAGGGGCAGGTGTGCCCAGGCAACACGGGCAGGGGGCCGTAGGTGTGCCCAGGTGTGCTCAGGTGTGCGCCCCTCCCTCGCAGGTCCCACCCCCCT